TGGGCCGGCCACTCACACACACCACACACACACACACCGGTCTCCCTGCATTCCCCCCCCAAAAAGCATTGCAAAGAAGTCAAATGCTGGCACAGAGTACAAGGTTTTTAGTAGCGTACACACACTGATGTAGTAATATGGAACAGTGCTTAACATGAATGAACCCTCACCAAAGTTGGGTGTATATATATTATTAAGTGTATGACAACAGACAGAAAGATGAAACAAGACAGGAAAAACTTGGCTGTGACACCCTCCAACCCAGCCCAACCCTCACCCAAGCGTAAAATAAAACGGTCAAAACTGAAAAGGTAATCTAATCTTTCACACCTCCCCACAAAAAATCTAAGATACATTCCAAGAAATTAAAACAATACTACTACTGGTTAGGGTTGCATACGCATGCAGACAGACGAAACAAACAAACAAACAAGAAATAAGACATGAATAGACTAATTTTTTACTACTATTCATTACCTACCAAGTAGCAAATGAGATCTTTCCAAAATATAAAAATAGGCTTAAAAAAAAAAAAAAAAGGCAAAAGGAGACAAAAAGGCACGCTATGATTTAAAAAAAACATCACTAAAAGAAAAAGCAAAGAGCAAAGTAAACTCATGTCTGAATTTTGCCTATCAAAGAACAGAGCCTTGTGATGGACTAAAATCTACCTGGAATGATCTCCTGACCTTCAATTTAAAAAAAAACCCTGAATGTCCAAAGCTTTTCCACTTTATACTATTGTGATTGTAGAATAATAATCATTGACTTTAAAAAAAGAAAAAAAGAGACTGTACAAAAGCACCATGTTAGAAAGTCCTGGGGTTAGAATACAGTCACATACCAACAGGGACCCAACAATTTGTTACATACGAAAAGAACGTAAACTTTTCTCTAAGAGTGAAAATATTAAACTTACTGAAAGTAGACACAGATGAACTAGCTAATAAAATTAATACCTGAGTTTCACTTCATTCCAAAAAACAAAACAAAAAAGACCCAAACCTTTTTCTTCCTTGTCTCTGGGTAATCTTATAATGTTATGATCACAACAACAACAAATACAAATGTTTCAAACATAAACCTACGTTAACTAACAGACGTGTAGGAGAGACTAGAGAGGCCTACCTGGAATGGATGAGAGAGCCAAATCCTGTTCGCTGACTTGAAACTCAACGCTGAACGGGCTGACGGGGGGTGACGGGCTTTTGCTGACGGGCTGGGGTGCGGGCATGACGCTGGGGTACTGGGTGGGGCTGGAGGGGCCGGGAGAGGCCAGGAACTGTGATGGGCTCATGGGAGGGGTCCTCAGGTACTGGCGCGGAGAGCTGTTGGACATGGCGATGGGAACTGGGGGGAAACGGACGATAGAACAAAACACATTATAACTGAAATACGTTCAAACACAATCAAGTCTATACCTTTTCTTCAGGCACCATAAAACACGGCACGTAGATCAAACTTTCATTTCTAAACAAACGCACAACAAAATAAAACTGTTGGAAACACTCTGAGGAACAGTTGGAAAAAAAATACACTTTTTTATTTCTTAATTTTTTTATTTAAAAAATAAGTTGCACTAACCAAAGCCAAAGAGAAAAAGAAATCAAGCACAGATTACTCCAATGGGAGGAAAGAAGTAGCAGGAAAATCATTCTTTGCACCACTTACTTAATGCCATTGTGCGTCTAAAGTGAGGAAAGAAAGAAAATGATAAAAACTCGGAACTTTTACCTAAAAATGTTATAATTACAGAATAATATTCAGCATAACAAAAACATTCTTAAATTTTCTTTTGCAGTGTGTGGTCTTGTAATAAAATAATGGATTGGCATTAAAGTAAAGACAATAATTTAAAACATAAGACTGAAAAAAACAGCACTTCAAAACTGGGACAGTAATCCAAGACCACATTTTTACATATTGCTTGCAGTTTTCATTCAAACAGTTCGCTCCCTATGATCAGAGTGCAAGTAGAAAAACCAAAATTCTCCTCACCATTGTTGGCAACCATAGCAGGAGGGGGGGCCTCTTCTTTCGGCCCAGCAGGCAGCTGATCCTTCCTCCCCTCTTCCCCAGCCACGGGGATCCCGTTCTCCGAGAGGAACTCGTCCAGATCCATGTACTCCAAGTTGAAGTCCACGTTGTCGTAGGTCTTGTCCCACAAGTTGGGACCCAAAAACGCAGAGCCATAGTTGAACTGTGGTAGATCGGAATCCTTGTCCTCTTTCTTGACTTTGATCTGGTCGCTTGCTGTGTTGAGAAAGAACCAAAAAAAAAAAAAAGAACCGTCATATAATTACTATTACTTACTACTCTATCGTAATCTCAATCAAATTTAAAACAAAATATATAGATTCTAGGCTTATTTTCAAAAATAAAAACCAGTACACTGAGTTGGAAAAAAATTTGTGCATTTATATCCCAGCAGTGGCAAGACAATTGAACAGCCCTGAGCCACACTGTTCGACTGTGTAATTTTACTTTTAAAAACTTTTGCACAGTTATTATAATCCCTCTGTTAAGTCTCCAGAGAATAAAACAGGAGTAAAAAACAACAACTATGAATAAAAGACAGCATCAGCAATGTTTCAAAATTGCTCACAAAGACTTAGTTTCTATCTCTATCTCAAATGTTTTAAATTTCAAATGATCTTTGATTAATAAATCACAACCCATTCAGTCATTGTAAAATTCCGGTAAAAGCTGGTAACACGAGGCTGAGGCTGAATACGAAGTGAGTACGAAGGCATTAAAAAATATTCTGCAGCACCTTCAAGTATTGATATCTGAGAAACCGAAAAGGACCACTATAAAATGACACAGCAAAACCATTAATGAGGCCATCAAATTGGGGCTTGTTCTTTCCCCTCCTCTTTTTTTATTTCTAAATAAACACTCCTGTACAATGCCTGTCTCTATAAGAACAGCCAATCCAGGAGGGTTCTTCATCTCATTCATAAAACTGACACTTGACTCTCTGAAGTCATTATCATCATCAGAGTACAATGCTATTAGTAGGTTCTTATCTTATCAGACAGCAACAAGAAGCCCTTTTCAAAATGTGTATTTTTTTTTTAGCCAAAGCATCTGGTACGCAGCACCTTCTTTGATGACAGTCGACCTCAGGGCCAAACTTGCCCACACTACAAGTGCTGCATTGAGAGGATCTCAAACAACAACAACTGCAATACAAATGCCCATGGTGCCTGAGATAAAGTTCTAAAATCTTTAATACAAACTCGTCATACACTGAGCAAGCAATTAAGAAGCTTCCCAATTCTCATACACGCTGTGCCAATTAAATCAGTCTATCAAACTCAACGAGAGTCCGTTCATTGGTCATCCAATCATCAGCCGCTTGACACTACCTCCTCCCCTCCTCTTGCAATAAGATTTGAAATTTCAAAAAACTTGTTCCACATTTTACACAAAAAAACATCAGACAACCTTGTCTAGCTTTTAACACTGTTTTGGACTTTGGTAACACTCTCAGATTTTGAACACGACACAACCCACTGCTCATATAATTTCAAACAGAAAGCAATGTCCAATAACTCTGACTTTGAAAACATATAATACAGGATTTAACCCTCTGAGTCAGAAAAAAGACTGACCCGACTGAAGACAACAATGCCATCATTGTCAGCAGACTCCATCCGCCATGATAGCAGGGAGATCACAACAGGCCCACAGGCCGTCTCCAACCTTTCGTGGAGCATGATGGGGGCATGCAACATTTACATTTTTTCATTTTTACAATCAGGAGAAAAATGTAAATGCCCAAGTCGTTTAAGTCTCTCATCTTCGATGCAGTAGCTTTGTGTAGCAGCTTAGACTAGACGAAAAGACCATACACACAAATTTTGGTACATGAACATTGAAGTTACAGTAAAGGTGGATTTTGTACATAATTTTCTCAACATTTTTGTAGGAATTTCCTCTTAGAAAAATCCACAAATATAAATTAAAATAATCATGCATCAGGCTCGGTAATGATGATTTTTTTGTTTGTCCTTTCAAATGCATCTGATCTCCTGTTCTCCACAGAGATAACTCTCTCCTCTCTTCAATCATCATCATCACTTCACATCTACTTCGTTCACCCAAGGCGGTAAGTTACAAAGAACATTCTCAAACTCAAATATTCAGCATGTAGTCAGAGCTGGGCCAGGGAACTCCTTAAAGTTAAAGCAAAGAGACCAGGAGGGAGGAAATCAAAAGTATCCGCCTTAATCATGACAACTAGACTGCTGACAAGAAATCAGCTTACTTCACTTCATGGAAAGGAAAGGGGTGGAAGCTGCAGTGAAATTTATGAAGGAATCCCTATGACTATGACCACATCATATCCATAGATAATGACCCACAAGGAACAGGGGTCAGGGGGGAACATGCTCTGCCTGCCTGCT